TGCTCAGATCCCTGCCTGTTTCCCATTTTCAGCAACGAGATCTCCCCAGTTAGAATCTGGAGACGGCTTTAAAAACCAAGATTTCTGCAGAAGCAGCCAGGGAGGGAGCAAGGGGAACATCCCAAGTGCTGATCAGCCCAGAGCTGAGCTCAGCTGGGCTGGCCACAGCACCTCACCCAGCCCAGGGAATGGCTGCTGCAGCTTCTTCACTGGGAAACAGCTGGAGTTCTGCTCACACACTGGGAAACAACTGGAGTTCTGCTCTCACACTGGGAAACAGCTGGAGTTCTGCTCACACACTGGGAAACAGCTGGAGTTCTGCCCACACACTGGGAAACAGCTGGAGTTCTGCTCTCACACTGGGAAACAGCTGGAGTTCAGCTCTCAGCGTGGGAAAAAGCTGGAATTCTGCTCACAGAGTGGGGAAATAACTAGAGTTCTGCTCATGCCGTGGGAAATCCCAGAGCACCAGCACTGAGCACTTCCAGTGGCTGAAGGCACTCACAGCTCCACACACCGAAATAACCAGAGTTCTGCCCACACTGCCCCACGCCCCAGAGCACCAGCACTGAGCATTTCCAGGTGGCTGAAGGCAGTCACAGCTCCACACTCCATTGTGACCAATTAAAAGATGCTTTTTTGGGGGACAGAACCACCAGTGCCCCTCCAAGCCGGAGAGCAGCCTCCCAGCCCTAAGCAGAGCAGCAGGAGCTGCTCTGCCTCTGGCACCTGGTCCTGTCTGACCCCCGGTTCACTCACCCTCCCCACAGGGCCAGGAGTTTCCCACTGCCAGGTTCCATTCCCTGGTGCACAGCAAATGCCCTGAGCTGCAAGGGAGCTGCTGCAGGACAGCTCTGAGGAACGTGGTGCTTTCATTTCAATGTCAGCTTCATTCAGCATGAGAATTAAAAGCTCTGGGGCAGGAGTTTGTGGCTGTGCAGTTACTCCTTGTCTAAACACCAGCATTCTGCATGGCTTACCTTGTCAGCTTTAAACCCCTCACAGAAGGACCTGGCTTTTATTTGTTTTTAGCCCAACATTTGTCAGTGAGGCACCTCCTGCATTTGGAATCTGTGCTGGGAGCCCCAGACAGGGATGCAGAGATAAAACATGCATGAGTGCTGAGCACAGGATGGGGCAGCAATTTGTGAACATCAACACACACCAATGCTCCTGTTCACACTCTCAGCTCTGGCTGTGTCTGATCAGAAGGGACAGCTCACAAGTGCTGTTTTAAACATCTTTTTGACAAGCAATATGCTTTTCCCCAGCATTCCGTTTATCTCTGAAGTACATCACCGAGCCATGGGCTCACCACAGCCCCAAATATCCACACTCAGAGGGGATTTCATTTACAAAATCCTCCTTGCCAAGTGCTGCACAGAGCACAGACCCTGTACACATACACAGTATAAACTCCATTTATACCCACTGAGCTCTGACCCAACGCTCCTGGTGGTTTTTGGGCAGTGCAGAGCAAGCCTGGCACCTCTGAGCAGGGCTCTTGCTACAGACCCAAGCATCAGAACTTCCCAGGACACAGAGGAGAGTCTGTCCCAGCTGTGACCACAGCACCCACTGCTGCCAGGGAATATTCGGGTTGTTTTGTGAGATTATTATATTTCTGATTATTTTGTTGCATTATTATATTTCTGATTATATTATTACATTTCTGATTATTCTGTGAGATTATTACATTTCTGGTGTGAGATTATTACATTTCTGATTATTTTGTGATATTTCTGATTATTCTGTGAGATGATTACATTTCTGACATTATGGTTTGTGCTGGCACCACCCAGCCCTGCAGAGCTGGCAGCCAGGGCTGGGCCCAGGGCAGGAGAAGGAGCTCCAGCAGTGGCTCAGGGAGCTGCAGGTGCTGGGAGGGCAGGGCAGACCCTCCAGGCTCCAGTGTGAACAGAGCAGAGTCTGCTGTGCCTCCCTGGCTGCCAGAGCAGTGACTGCAGTCCCCAGCCTTGTGCAGGCTCCTGAAACCCATCCCAAACGCACCAGGGACCCACTCCAGCCCACGGGTGGGAAACCAGCACAATCAGCTGCCTCACAATAGAAAGGCCCACGGGTGGGAAACCAGCACAATCAGCAAAACCCAGCTTTACAAAGCCAGTGTTTATTTTTGAAAGCCACAGGCAGCTCTGGGCTGAGCAGGAGCCAGCAGAGTGCCACAGCTGCTCCCACTGCAGAAAACTTTGATATTCCCCAGCATTCTCCCCACTGGGTTTGGTGTAATCACTGTTTGAAAGCAAAATCCACATCCCGTGCATCCTGTGAAAAGGAGTCAAGCAGTCCCTAAATAATTTGTAAATGAAGTCTCAAGCCAAAACAGAAACCTGTCCCACACCACAGCTCTGAGCTCAGCAGCACTGGGCCTGAAGGGTTTGTGTGGGGTTTAAGATTCACATTTTTCAGCATCATCTCAATACTTTGCCTCCAGCCACTGGGCTGGACAAGAAGCCTTGGAAGATTCTGCAGTCTGATTCATTAGGACAAAAGGTAATTAAATCACATCCTCTCCTCAGCCATACAATTTTGTCTTAAAAATGATTAAACAAGAGACAAATGTAATTAGGGCAGGAAAAAGTATAAGCCAAAACGTTAATCTTGTTTTGTGTTCTAGGAAAATGGAGCAATAAATCACCTTGTTTAAAAAACCCTTTTGTTTTGCAGTGACTGGCAGCACACTGAGAGCCAGCGCGGGGGGAAACTGAGGCAGCAGATATCCCACCTGGGAGAGAACAGCTAAGCCTGGCTGATGCAGGTGGAGCCTTCCAGAGAGCAACCAGCACAGCCCAGGTGGGGAGGGGATGGAAACACAGCCTGCAGCCAGCACACGGCCAGGGGGAGAAACACCAGCCCCTCTGAGAGGATTCCTGCTTCTCTGAGAGTTCCTGCTCCTGAGAGAGAACCCCTGCCCCTCTGAGAGAGAGAATCCCTGCCCCTCTGAGAGAGAGAACCCCTGCTCAGAATCCCTGCTCCTGAGTCCCAGCTCCTGCTCCCCGGGCAGGCTGGACTGAAGGGAGCAGAGCCCCGAGCATGCCCCTGGCTGCTGCTGCTGCTCAGAGGGATCCAAGAGAGCTGTGGGACCCCCAGGATGCGCCTGCCAGGCTGGTGTGACCCCTGGGATGTCCCACTGCCCACAGTGTGCCCCCAGGATGCCCAGGCTGGCTGTGCCCCCTGCCCTGCCCAGCCAAACCCCTGGGCTGCCACTCTAAGTGTCTTCATTGAAAGGTCATTTTGGAGCCAGCAACCTTTTCAAACAGTGGGAGTAAGAATATTGAGTTCTCAGAGAGAAGGAAGAAAGGTCAGCCTGCTTCATGGCTCCTAATTCAACCCAGCCTTACACTGGACATGTCTCACTGCTTGGGCTTTAGATATCCTGTCCTGCTTCTGCTCATTCAGGAATGCAATGATCTGCTTGAAATATGATTAGGGAAAAAAATGCTTTTTAAAACCCCATTAAGATCTATTTTTGATGGAGGTTTCCTGCATAGCCTGCAGCTAAGAAAAGCTTTTATGATGCTGGCACTGTATCAATAAAGTCCAAACAGAAGTCTGCATTTGCACAGGTAATAGCTGATCTAGAAAATGCCATCAGCAATGGAGAGCTGTACAAGCCACTGACAGAGAGGAAACTGGGAATTTCAGCTGTGGCACCAGAGTGTCTGGCTCCCACTGCCCAGGCTGCCAGCTCTGGAGCAGCAGTGCTCACTGTGCTGCCCTGGTGCCCAGAGCTCAGCCAGGGCAGGGGCTCTGCTGTGCCTGCAGTGCAGGCGTTCCCAGGGCCTGGCCCAGGGCCATGGACGGGCTCACCTGGCTGCTGCAAACAGTCATTTCTCTCTTCTGCCCTCAGGAACCAAACCCAAACCAGAGCTTTTTGCTTTGCAACGCTTTTTGCCTCCTGAAGGCACAAATCTTGGTGTGGAGGAAACACCCAGGGGAGTCCCCAGAGACCCCAGGGGGGTTCTGTGAGGGAGCTGGGGCTGCCTGCAGCCCCCTCCCTTCCCTCCCTCCCTGCTCAGGGAATTCTGACACTGCAGGAAAACACTGACTCCACTTTCCACCAGAAATGTCTTTCAGCAGACCTTAGCATTCAGTTCACATCACTGCTATGTAATTATTCTTTTCAGGAGCAGAGATGCAAAGGAGGCATTAACAGCCGTTCAAAATATCACATTTATGCACTTTTCTCTTGTCATATTAAATATAATTACTTCTGATGCAATCAAACTCATATCCTTCACATGGATAAATCCAGCACCAAATTTAGAACCTCAAGCTTCAAACATCAGGCTCTTCAAGCAAAGCTTTAAGCCTTTACTTTCAGTCCAGTGAGGTACAAAGAATAGTGAGAACACAAGGTTTAAAAATGGTATTTCTAAATGAAATTTCTTTAAATCATTCTGCTAGTTACTGGTGGCAAAGTGCTTTGAAGATCCAAGGTGATACATGAACTGCACCTCATAGCCCAGCAGCAGGAGATGGAGCCAGCTAAGTGACCAGGCCTTCTAGAAGTTTCTAAATTCAAAAAGTGCCTGAAAAGCAGAGCAAACACCCAGAGATGCAACCAGAGAAGTTCTGCTGCTACTCAGAGTCAGGAGGGATGCCCAAACCAGGCTGGGATGTGCTGCTCAGAGCCCCAGACTGTGCCCAGGCCCCTGCACTCGTTATTCTGCACCAGGGCCTGGCACTGGAGTTATCTGTGTGCCACTTTTGGCTTTCACACCCTCCCTTCAGGCTGCCCCACAGGCACCTGTGGCTCGGAGTCAGGGCTGCCACGGGCAGGAGCTCAGCAATCCCTGCAGAGCACAACTGAGAGGGGTGCAGCCAAACCCCCCCAACCTCCCCAGAAACCCCCCAGCCCCTGGAGCTGTGCACAGGGAAACACAGCCCAGAACCAGCCCAGAGCAGCCTGGACTGCAAAACACAACTTCTCTTCGAGAGAGCAGCTGCCACAAAGCTGTGAGAGCAGAGCCAGCACTCACTGAGAGCTGCCAGGGATGAGGCTGTGGAGCTCAGGTGGTGACATGGGACCTGGAATCCGTGTCTCCTCTAGAAACCAGCTCTGATCAGAGATCTTCTGTGGAGCTGCAGGCTGCAGGCATGATGGGTCATTTCCAGACTGCAGGAGAAAAGGAAACCAGTCAGTGGCCAGGCTGTTACAGCTCCCACGTGTGCCCACCTGCACAAAAACAAACATCAGCTCCCCTGTGCTCACCTGCTCACCAACATCAGCTCCCCTGTGCCCACCTGCACACCAACATCAGCTCCCCTGTGCTCACCTGCACACCAACATCAGCTCCATCCCTGCACACAAATATCTCTGTCTGAGATGAGGGAACTCCCCCTGGGCTGTGCCAGAGGTGTCCAGGTGCCCTCTCCAGAGCTGCCCCTGCCCTGGTACCTGGGGAGCTCAGGACTGCCTGGGGACACAGCAGGGACACAGCCAGCCTAGCAGTGCCCAGGGCACAGCAGGGACACAGCAGGGACACAGCCAGCCCAGCAGTGCCCAGGGGGCTCAGGACTGCCCAGGGACACAGCAGGGACACAGCCAGGCCAGCAGTGCCCGGGGGGCTCAGGACTGCCCAGCCAGGGGCACAGCAGGGCACAGCCACCCCAGTCTCTCCCAGAGCCCCCTCGCAGGCTCTCGTTAACCCCAGCACCTGCTGAGCCCAGACCCATCACCCTGGCTGTCTCCCTGGGCAGCCCAACACCCTCTGGAGCCCGGTTTGGGCTAAAACCCAAAGTGGAGCAGAGGAGGGGAGAGGATGAGAAGCATGAATCAGTTCTTCCCAAGACTCTATTTTCTCCCGGGAATGGAATTCTAAAAATGCCTTTGGATGGTGTCCCTCCAGACCCAGCGTGGCTCGGTGTGAATTGCATCCTGTGTGCACGAGCTGAGTATCAGAGGCTGCAGTCTGACAGACTGCAGAGTCAGTGACAGATACCTCACCCGTACCCACACGCTGCCAGCTATTTTTAAATGCCTTTACTTACATAATGCTTGGTGTCTTCATCAGCACAAATCTAACTCATGGCAGCACCAAGGCTGTGCCCGTGGGACACGGGAAATCACTCAGCAAGGGACGCACGCTCCCAGAGCTGCTGGGCTGGGGCCTGCACACACTTCCTTCATTATTCATGGCTCTCCCGAGCAGGAGCAGGCTGCACAGGATCGAATTCAATCCTCCTGGAACCCGTCTGGTGACTCACTGAGGAGCAGGCTGCCTGTGGCACAGCCTTTTGCTGGCAAAGATCTATTTTGAGAAGTCACTTCGTGCAGTGCAAGTCACCCCGTTTGGGTTGGAGCCTGGCACCATTTCTTGAAGACACAAACCAATGCAGAGGAGCAGAGTCACACCAGGGAGTGCTTTGCTGCAAGGGGGCACTGGGATGGGCACGGGGCTTAAAATGCAGGTTCAGAGCTGCAGCTGTGACCAAGCACAGACTCTGCAGCCAATGCAAGTTCAGAGCTGCAGCTGTGACCAAGCACAGACTCTGCAGCCAATGCAAGTTCAGAGCTGCAGCTGTGCCCACACACAGGATCTGCAGCCAATGCAAGTTCACAGCTCAGCTGGTGTCCAAACACAGGATCTGCAGCCAATGCAAGTTCACAGCTCAGCTAGTGTCCAAACACAGGATCTGCAGCCAATGCAAGTTCAGAGCTGCAGCTGTGACCAAACACAGGCTCTGCAGCCAATGCAAGTTCAGAGCTCAGCTAGTGTCCAAACACAGGCTCTGCAGCCAATGCAAGTTCAGAGCTGCAGCTGTGACCAAACACAGGATCTGCAGCCAATGCAAGTTCAGAGCTCAGCTAGTGTCCAAACACAGGCTCTGCAGTCACAGTGCTGCTTTGCAAGGCGTTATTACCATTCCTGTGGAATTCCAGCCTTGCCCTGGGACTCTCTGAGAATAAAGGATGCAGAGTTCCCTGCAGTTTCTCTGGGGCCAGCTCTGGGGGCTGCAGAGGCTCTGTAGATGCAGGTGAAAGCCCTGGCACAGCCACAGCCTGTGGCTGCCACCCTCGCAGAGCTGTCACTGGGGCAGGTCTCGGGTGACAGGGCACAGGAGGAGCTGACCCTGCCCAGAGAGCCCGTGCAGCACACAGAGCCCAGCAGAGTCTGCTGGAAAGCCTTTCCAGGAACTCCCTGGCAGGAGCTGCAGGGCCAGGCTCTGCCCCTGCGGGTCAGCTCTGCCAGGTGAGCTGCTCTGAGCCTGGAGCCACATCCCTGAGCCACATCCCTGGCTCCATCCCTGAGCCACATCCCCATCCCTGGCTCCATCCCTGGGCCCCATCCCTGGGCCCCATCCCTGAGCCACATCCCTGAGCCCCATCCCTGAGCCCAATCCCTGGCTCCATCCCTGAGCCCCATTCCTGGCTCCATCCCTGAGCCCCATCCCTGAGCCACACTCAGCTTCTTTTCAGCATCCAGGAACTTGAAAGGTGCTGTCACAGCCTTGTCTCGTGTGGTCTCCAGCTGTACACCAGGAATGGCTCAGGAATTGCCTTTGCACACCAGGAATGGCTCAGCAGTGCCCTTGCACACCAGGAATGGCTCAGCAATGCCTTTGCACACCAGGAATGGCTCAGCAGTGCCTCTGCTTGTCTCGTGTGGTCTCCAGCTGTACATCAGGAATGGCTCAGCAGTGCCTTTGCACACCAGGAATGGCTCAGCAGTGCCTTTGCACATCAGGAATAACTCAGGAATTGCCTTTGCACACGAGGAGTGCCTGCTGCTCACCCCAGCAGCCAGGGCACAGAGCACAGAACATGGAAAGCAGAATGCCAACAGCTGTGAGTTACCACTCTGCTGAAGCAATGCTTAAACGCTGAGCTTGGAACATAAGACACTTCAAAAAATCCTGCACAAAACACATTTCAGTCTTGCCTCTTAAATGGAAAGGATTTTCCTGGCCTCTGCTTTTAACATGTCTTTCTCCTTTTGCCTCTACCAGAGTATAAATATTCAGCATTAGTGAAATAATCAGCAACATTACAGCGTGCAGCTCTGCACTGTGTGGGTGTGTGCAGAGACACTCAATACAGACAGTAACCAAGCTGATATCGTTTATTTATGTCTATAATTAATTTATTACAATTTATTACTGTCCTAGTAAGTGTAAGTAGGTAACAACAGGACAAGCCTTGGGTTAGGAGCACTGTTAGTTTTTAGGCTGAAGATCCATCACCTGCACTGTGGTGCTGCAGGACAAGGGGCAGAGATTCAGGGGAGGGAAATGGCCCCATGCAGCACCAGGGCACAGCAAACACTGCAGATCTGACTGCACTGGCTGCCAGGGAGGATCTGCCCCAGCAGCCCCCACGGACCCCCGTGAACGATGACAAGCAGGAGGAGCCTCTCCTGGAACGTGCCACGCTGAGGCTGCCCACGCAGGTGAGGGTTTGCTGTCAGGGTTACACCAAACACCCTCCAGCCCTGGGACAGCTGACAGCAGGGGATTGCTGGGGTGATTTTCGTCTTCCACTCTGAGGGCTTCTTGGTGTGTTGGGCAATCACCAGTTTTGTCCCACTACATCTCATTTCAAAGTCACAAACCAAATTAATTAGCGAGATCGCGCCACCTCGTCCTTAATCTCATTAGAAAAGACTGATGGCGACAGAATCAATTATTTCATACAGATTACTGCCTCAACACCATCGGCCTCCACATCACACAGCTCATTCTGGATTTCCAATTCTGTTGTCATTTCCTCCACTGGTTCAATTACAGCCCTTAATTAAGTCCCTTCTTTAATCAAATTCATAGCTATGTCCATTCATGTATGGCAGCATATAAAATAAGAAACAAAAGCAACTAACAGGACTACGGGGCCAAGAGCAGAGCTGGGCCAGGATTTGGCTGTCCCCACTCCAGGAGCTGCCAGCATTCCTTCCTTTGAAACATCCACAGTAGGCTCATAACAAACACCAAGAAACCACAGTTTTAGCTAAGGTTTGCAAACCCGTGACACAATTCCCATTTTGCAGTCCTGAAGATCCAGTGGATTTGTGATTGCAGTGGCACACTTCATGTCTCCTGTCAGCTCAGTTTCTGGGGGTCTGCAGGTGCTGTATTTTCCAGAATAGATAATTTCATTTCCAAAGCAATAATTGAGATTTTCCCGCTTCACTCTCCACTGTTATCACAGTTTGCATTTCCTTCCAATGCAGTGTGGGAGTAACAAGTTTCTCCATTGCTCTAGACACATTTCTACTTTTGCTTTTTATGCTGATTTTTTTTCCACAATGGTAAAAAAAACTTACCATTTCCTGATAAAGAGCCCAAGTGGTTTTTTCTCTATCTTTCATATTCTTCTGCATAACTGTGACTAACTATCCAGTGACTTCCACAATGGTAAAAAAAACTTACCATTTCCTGATAAAGAGCCCAAGTGTTTTTTTCTCTATCTTTCATATTCTCCTGCATAACTGATAAAACTATCCAGTGACTTTTTTCTGTAAGATCTACTAGAACAAATGCACCAAAAGGAAATTAGCACCAAAAATGAGAAAAGCCAACAGCCTCTCTGTATGCAAATTTCTTCTCTTAAATACAAAAAATGAGACCATGGGAATCCTATTTCACTGAGCAAATTAACAAAGGGTCAGAAAGCTTGATCCTTGTCACTGGTGTACTCTGTCTGAAAGCTGAACTGCCATTTAAATATTCATAAGGGAGAGCTGTAATTGCAGGGTGAGAGCTGTGTGCTCAGGAGAGGGAACTGAAAATATTCATGGCATGGGAGATATTCCACCAAAGGAAAATTCGGGTGAAGGGAAGGAGCCCTAACCTGGAATTTCGGTAATTTGTGAATCCATACACATGAGGAAGTGTCCTAATTTTGGGGCATGCTATGCATGCTACGGGACTCAGACACAGGAGAGAAATTCAGCCTTCACCAGCCACTGGAAACGGAGGAAAAAAGTGGTTCCAGATGATGGCAGGACCACAGGCAGTACACAGAACCACGCTTCATTTTTAGGAATATTTTTATGAATCAAAAGAAACAAAGGAGGAGAAGCAGCTGCAGAGACACCCAAGAGGAGAGAGCAAACAAAGATGCTCAGCCGCTGCTGCACCTGTGAACTGGGCTTGCCAGCAGCACCGGTCCCCTCCAGC